TGCTTACCTCCATCAACTTCTCAAAGAGAAAAAGGAAAATGAGAGTAGGCCAAGACCTCCTTGAAGAAGAGGTAAGAGGAAAGACTCCTGACCCTTTAACCAGAAGAGAGCTATTAAGTCAAGTAGCAGGCCTCTATGATCCCATCGGCCTTGTCACACCATTGAAACGGAAGGGAGCCATACTAGTCAGAAAAGCGTTCCAGGAGGCAGGAAGCGGAGAATCCGCCCGGGAAACTTGGGATAATCCACTGTCAGCAGGCCTAAGGGAGGAAGCAATACAAGTATTTGAAGAGTATGTGCAACTGAGTCAAATCACCTTCGACAGAAGCTTGACACCACCCAGCTGGATCGGTGAACCTTTGGGAATAACATTCTCCGATGGAAGTGACAAAAGCTTTGGAGCTGTGGTATACCTCAGGTGGGAGACGGAAGAAGGTATCCAAATCAGACTGGTTGAATCCAAGGCAAAACTCACACCGCTGAACCAAAAAGGTGACCCTGTAAAGGCAGAGATCTGTGGTGCGGTTTTTGCAGCTTGTCTAAGAAGGCATATTGAAAAGCACAGTCGAATGGAAATAGGACAATGGTTCCACCTCCTGGACAGTCAAACTGTGTTGGGAGCAATCCAGCGTGACAGTTATGGATATCAGACATTCTTTGCCAACAGAGTAGGTGAAATCCAAAAGTCTGGATCTGTTGAGGATTGGTGGTGGATTTCAGGTGACTTAAACATTTCTGACATCATAACAAGAGGAGCGACCCCTGCTGATCTCAAGGAGGAATCTGAGTGGCAGAAAGGACCTTCCTTTCTGAAAATGCTAGTGGAGGAGTGGCCAAAGAAGTCAGCCAAGGAGGTTGCGGCAAATGCAAAAGAGGGCATCAAGAAAATCCAAAGGAAAACATTCACAGCAGCACTCACCAGAGCTCAGGCAAAGATGAAGCATCCTGATGGTAAAGAACCTGTAACCCTTATAAAACCCTCTGAGAGTGAGAAAGAGACTCGAACCCGAAGAATACCAGCTGGCTCAGTTATAGGGCAACTGATTGATGTGAGGAAATTCAGCAGCTTGGATAAACTGGTCCGAGTTGTTGCCTGGGTGCTGAGAGCTGCTAAGGAGTGGAAGAGGAGGATGATGAACCCAACTCCCCACAGGTCAAAGTGGGAGGTAATTCCTTCAAAAGGAGAGGGAGAATTGAGAACTAAGAAAACTGTGCTCTCTGTTGGAGAATGTGAAGATGCACTCAGACATCTTTTCCTTTCAGCCCAGGAAGGAGTAACATTTAAAGACATTACTCTCAGCAGGTTGGTTGTGTATAAGGAGGAAGAGTCGGGACTCTTAGTATGTGGAGGAAGGATCCAATACTTCAATGAGGACAAAGGTGTAGTACCAATCCTACCTTATGAGGCATGGATATCCACACTTCTTGCTCAAAAGGCCCACAGAGCAAACCACGAGGAAATAGCAGGAACACTCCTACAGATGAGAAAGAAAGCCTGGGTTGTCAAAGGCAGAAGATTGGCTAAAAAGGTGGTGGACAGCTGCGTGATATGCAGAAAGGCCAGAGGAAGGAAGTGCAAGCAAATCATGAGTGACCTGCCATCAGAGCGGACAAATCCAGCAAGACCCTTTGAATACACAACTGTGGACCTGTTTGGACCATATGAGGTGAAGGACCAAGTGAGGAAAAAAGTAAGGCTGAAAGTATGGGGCATTGTCTTCTGCTGTATGGCATCCAGAGCAATACATGCAGATGTTGTTGGAGACCAGTCAGCTGAAGGCTTCCTACTGGCCTACAAAAGATTCACTGCATTGAGGGGACATCCGAAGAAAATGTGGTCAGATCCCGGAAGCAACTTTGTAGGAGCCAGACCTGCCCTGAAGGAGCTCTACATGTTTCTGGACTGCTTAGAAAAATCTGAGCTGGAGGATGAAGCTACCAAACATGGAACAGAGTGGAGCTGGAAAATTCATCCTGCAGACTCACCTCACAGGAATGGAGCTGCTGAAGCAGCTGTTTGTGTCGTGAAAAGGGCCCTCAACAACCTTGGAGGAAATGGAACCTTCACATGGGGAAAAGTTATGGGAACCAACAAGAAACTCTCAACTAAAATCCCTGCCACAGTACTTCACAGAGACGTTCGGCGCATAGTGGTTCTGCTTCCCATTGAAGAGCAAAATGCGGGAAAATAGTACAATACAACAAACTCATCAGCAGTGAATCATTTTCTGTAACTTCAGTAGGAAAAGTGTTGTGACCTCCTTGGGTTCAGGAACCAGGAGCTCAAGTGGGAGGTGTTTTGGCAGAGCCAGAGAAATCAAAATCTGGCTCCAGTCCAGCAGGTGGAGACAGGGAGCCTAGGGTCTGTGCTTTCACTGAGGAGGTGGCTCAAAGGAAGAGTGTGCCACTCCTTGTTAAGGAGCTTAATGCAACACACCTGTGAAGGCACACTCTCAGCAGAGAAGCAAACAATTCACTGTGGGAGAGGAGAAAGACTCAAGGATTCAACCAAAGACGCTGCTGGTGATATATTTTGTGAATGTATTTTTCTGTTGGAACCATGTTTTATTAAGATGAATTATTATTTCTAGTTTATGAAGTTAAGCTAAAACATAAGATGCTGGATTATAATTTACTTTGTTGAGATGCAATTATTTTTGTTTAAGTGTTAAGTTTAATTATAACTTGAGATGAAGTGAATGAAAGTATGTTTTGTGTTTAAGGTTTTCAACCTGAATGAAGCATCAGAAGGCTATCAAGAGGCTAAATGAAGCAGAAATAATTCTGCAATAACTCGAAATAAAGAGGAGAATGATGCAAATCTGAGTTGTCCCATGTGTCCTTTTGGAGGGAATCGGGCCGTTTTCAAGTTTGGGCAGGAGTCAATCATTAAGACCAGATCATAACTTGACAGACACTACATACTGATATACACCTGAACATCAGCAGGAGAGGACTCTTTAAAGTAGAGACACTACATACTGATATACACCTGGACATCAGCAGGAGAGGACTCTTTAAAGTAGAGACACTACATACTGATATACACCTGAACATCAGCAGGAGAGGACTCTTTAAAGTAGAGACACTACATACTGATATACACCTGGACATCAGCAGGAGAGGACTCTTTAAAGTAGAGACACTACATACTGATATACACCTGAACATCAGCAGGAGAGGACTCTTTAAAGTAGAGACACTACATACTGATATACACCGGAACATCAGCAGGAGAGGACTCTTTAAAGTAGAGACACTACATATTGATATACACATTCATTTATAATTATTTTCTTAATCCTAAAAATAAATAAAAAATGCAAATATCTTATTTCAGAAAAATAATATAGAGATATTTTTTAAATAAAAAAAAAACAACACTGAGATTTTGTCCTTTTAGCTTTTTTATTAACAAGAAAAACCCCAACATTTTATTTTGTACAGACATGTAAATGTGGCACTCATCTCACATCTTGAAAATAGAAACACAATTTATTACAAACTCAACCTGTTAGCTTTTCTTTTAATGTGTTTTATTTCCTTCTTCAAACTTTCCTTTATGCATTCAACACATTGAGACTTAGAAACACATTGAAGACATTTAGAATAAAATATCTACAATGAAAGAAGCTCTGGTGCTTTCTCTCTCTCATGCTTTACAAGAGAAACAACAACATACAAATAAATCAATATCGATATTCAACAAATATTTAGAGCAAAGTTTACATTTCCATGCAGAGAAATATGAGTTGAGGTTAACAGAAATCCTCCTGAGCAGTGACAGCCTCCATGGCTAAACAGACACAGGAAGGAGCGCCGCCTAAAGAAACTCCAACATCTACAGAACAACTCATGAGAAGATGTTAAAGCACATCCCATAATGTTTGATTGACAGCTGATCTCTGTGCAGTGAAGACATGAACAATCAGCTCTCAGCAACAATGATGGACACACAATGAGTTTAAGAAGTAGAAGAGTTCCTCAAATGACTTCAGGCTATTTCAGTTTACAAAACTCAGCTGTGTCTCCATGACCATCAAGATAAACTCCAGCATGTAGCGGCTGAGTGAATGTGGTCTGGACTCTGTGGAGGAGAGTCATGGTTTCAGAGACGCTGTAGAAGGACAGAATACCTGCTCTGTGATCCAGGTACACTCCTACTCTGGAGGACCGAGGACCTGAGACGGGAGTGAGGATACTGTTGTAACAAAATGAATATCTGTTTTGGTCACACTCTAAGGACAAGGATTTGTCATTGTATCCAAATACACGTTCAAGCCCCCTCCCTGCTCTGCTGATATTCTTGTATGCGACTGCTACATGAACTCTTACCCCTCTCCACTCCACCTCCCAGTAACAACGTCCAGTCAGACTCTCTCTACTCAGGACCTGAGAATATACAGTGAATCTGTCTGGGTGACTAGAATAAGACTGATGTTGTTTCATGAATGTTGCTTTTCTGCTCCCCTCAGATGATAACAGCTCTGTGTATGTTGTGTTTGGATCCAGTGTGATCTCCTGTGAATATTGTAAGAACCCAGCTCTGGTGGTGGGCTCTGCAGCTGACACCGTGTCGTGGCCTTTGTGTTCGTCCACAGAGCAGAGATAACAGATACACTGCTGATCAGTGCGGCAGAACATCATCACCTCGTCGTGACGAGAGCAGATGTTCTCCTGGAGCTTCTTGGAGGGCTCCACCAGCTTGTGTTTTTTAAACGTAGCTGCGTCATAATGAGGCTGAAGGTGTTCGTCACAATAAGAGGCCAGACACTGCAGACAGGACTTACAGGCTCTCAGTTTTCTCCCAGTGCAGACATCACAGGCCACATCTTCAGCTCCAGCATAGCAGTGATCAGCAGGAGCAGCTTGGAGTCCAGTCTTCTTCAGCTCCTCCATTAAATCTGCTAACATGGTGCTTTTCAGCAGGACAGGCCTCGGTTTGAAGATCTTTCTACACTGAGGGCAGCTGTGGCTTAGCTCTCCATCCCAGTGGTGTTTGATACAGTCCATGCAGTAACTGTGTCCACAGGGAATAGTGACCGGATCCTTCAGTAGATCCAGACAGATCGAACAAGAGAAGGTTTCACGGTCCAGCTGAACTCCTCCCTGCGCCATCTCACCTCTCAGTGATAGTTACGGACTGCAGACAGAAGGTAAAATATCCACTTTCTCTGAACAGAAACAATCTCTGACGGACGACAAATCTCCCTCCTCCTGCTTTTGCTCACTCAATGCAGAGAATGAGGAAACAGCTTTCTCATTTAACCTGTTACTTGTTGCAACCTGAGAAGGGGAGGTGTTAGAAATTACACCTACAAGCTTTGTCATAGCAGCTGATACCCCCTCTGTCACTGTATGCAAAACCATCTCACCCTAAAATAGCATCTGTTGATCACACATACATTTAAGATTCACTCTCAGAGAGATGATCTAATCAGAGAAACTAAGCCAATGAGAAAGAGGAGAGAAGTTCCCTCCCTACGTCACCGCCCACCATCGATGAGGAGGGGTCACCACTGAGATATGTTTTATAAGTTTAAATATGCATGAGAGCAGGAAGAAGACGGATAGCTCATCAGGGTTTTATAGTGGCAACGTGGCAGAGGACTATTACCCTGTTCCAAAGTCCTTCTAATAAGTTAGTGAGGCTACAAGACAATCCCACTGAGGGAAAACAAAGTGTTGGGGGCTGTTTTGCTGACTTCTTTAACCCTTTGTTAACCCTTTCATGCACACTTCTTGCAAGTAACATTGTTGATGAAATAACACAGTTACCTGCACACAGCAGCAAGAACTTTGTCCAGTTCTTCATTCAGCGACTTTTTAATATACTAAAACACCATCTTTTACATTCATACAGCCATGAAAGTTGTTCTGCATTACATATAATATAGCCTACTTGAATTCTTATCTGTGTTATCTGGGAGTGTGCAGGGTTTCTGTCAAGCATTGTAAGTCGTAAAACAGAGCTACTCTACCTCTATTATCAGCCCCAAACAGTACATTGTGCTATTGCATTTCTGTGTACTGTATTCTGTATTCCCTTACGGATAAGTAGTCTGCAATACAAATATGCCAAGTTGTAATATGAAATGTAGTGGGCCTAAAAACATCAGTGTCTAAACATGGGTCTGGTGTAATGAGAGCAGAGTGTGATACTTAAGGTGAAATATGAATTATTTAAGATGTAATTTGGACTTTTAATGGTTAAAAAAAAGGGACATTATTTTAAATAAACCTGAATTACCCTTAAATCTTTTATAAACACAATTAAGATTGTGTCATGAATGCATTTTTGCTGTGAGAGCAACATAAGTGATGAAGTCTAGCTGCCAAAAAAAAACAACACCTCAGAAATTAAATTGAGCATTTTTCTGATTTCTGAGATTTTATTTCAAAAAGTGAAAATTAAAGTAAACTGCAGCTGTTTTTCAAATGGAGGTTTCCTGCTGTTGTTTTTGTGCTCCTTTGGATTTTTGATATGAATATCAGGTGTATATCAGTATGTAGTGTCTCTACTTTAAAGAGTCCTCTCCTGCTGATGTTTAGGTGTGTAGTATTTCTACTTTAAAGAGTCCTCTCCTGCTGATGTTCAGGTGTATATCAGTATGTAGTGTCTCTACTTTAAAGAGTCCTCTCCTGCTGATGTTCAGGTGTATATCAGTATGTAGTGTCTCTACTTTAAAGAGTCCTCTCCTGCTGATGTTCAGGTGTATATCAGTATGTAGTGTCTCTACTTTAAAGAGTCCTCTCCTGCTGATGTTTAGGTGTGTAGTGTTTCTACTTTAAAGAGTCCTCTCCTGCTGATGTTCAGGTGTATATCAGTATGTAGTGTCTCTACTTTAAAGAGTCCTCTCCTGCTGATGTTCAGGTGTATATCAGTATGTAGTGTCTCTACTTTAAAGAGTCCTCTCCTGCTGATGTTCAGGTGTATATCAGTATGTAGTGTCTCTACTTTAAAGAGTCCTCTCCTGCTGATGTTCAGGTGTATATCAGTATGTAGTGTCTCTACTTTAAAGAGTCCTCTCCTGCTGATGTTTAGGTGTGTAGCGTTTCTACTTTAAAGAGTCCTCTCCTGCTGATGTTCAGGTGTATATCAGTATGTAGTGTCTCTACTTTAAAGAGTCCTCTCCTGCTGATGTTCAGGTGTATATCAGTATGTAGCGTCTCTACTTTAAAAAGTCCTCTCCTGCTGATGTTCAGGTGTATATCAGTATGTAGTGTCTCTACTTTAAAGAGTCCTCTCCTGCTGATGTTCATGTGTATATCAGTATGTAGTGTCTCTACTTTAAATAGTCCTCTCCTGCTGATGTTCAGGTGTATATCAGTATGTAGTGTCTCTACTGGGACATGTCTCCATGCTTTAATGATCAGTTGTGATTGGTCGACCGCTTAGAGATGTCCCGCCCCTTAGCCTATCACGTACAATGTGTTGGAGCGCTAGCCAATAGCAGTGCAATGATAAATACAGAAATGATGAGAAACACAGTGCTGTACAGCTCCATGCTGCTATAGCCAGCTAAAGCTCTTTATTTGTTTTTAAAAGACATTTAGGAGACATTGTGACACATGAGGAAAAACCGTTGAAGCATCTTCTTATTTTTTTATACACGTAAATATCTCTTAAGGCACAAGATAAATTAAGAAGACGGGGAACAACAAAACCGCCTTTCAGAGAAGCTCTCGCATCCAAAAGAGAAAACAGTTTGATCCTTTCAAAATAAAACAGGAACAAGGAAGAGAAATGGGTGACAGCTGCAAAATACACGTAATAAAACATTACATACATAACAGAGCGTTCATACATGTGCGTAAAATACTTTCTTGATGGCAAGAGAGTGTATTTGAAAAGAAACGATATTATTTACTGTTTTAAATACTAACATTTATGTTGTAGTTTGATATAAATCCCTTTTGAGCAAGTGCTGTGAAATCAATGCAGTTTTTAAACATGATATGCGCGGTAACAAATATATGTACACCAAATAAAATAATAAGTAAACGTGAATTTCAACAATTTCAAGACCTAAAAATGACACGTATTATTGACATGTTAAGACTCATGTTGATTCATAAACAACATGTGGAAAACTTGATTATAGCGGAACTCATGACGATATAAACCCAGACTGAAATGGTGACAAACTTTATTTTTAAAGCCATTATTTGTCCATATTTATTGGCCAGTAAATAAAGCTTATCTTTCGCATATTTTTGACAATGTTACAAAAAGGGAACATTTTTTTGTGTTGCAGATAATTTCTCTTAGTTTGGGTACCAATGTGAATGTTTTAAATGTACTTTTTTGTGTATTAAAAAGCTTTTTAAAAATAAAAAAGCAATCAGAAGTGTTTTTATTAATGTGAAAAGTGGTCATTTTTTCCCAATTGTATCAGTTTTTCAAGCCACTTTTATTAGATTTCTTCTGTAATTTAAACATCACGAACACTGTCTTTATTCACTGGTTTATTCCTGTATTTTCAAAATAAAAGATATTCAAATAAACAAAAAACTGGATATCTTTTATTGTGAAAAACCGACAGGAAGTGATGTTTTCTTTAGGATAGCTACACATTAATCACATCACAAGCACTGTCTTTATTCACTGATTTATTCCTGTATTTTCAAAATAAAAGACAAAAAAACTGGAGATATCTTATTGTGAAAAGCCGACAGGAAGTGATGGTTTCTTTATGATACACATTAATCGGAGAACATGACAATACCATAAATGTGTATAAAATGTGTTTTTATACATAGTGGCTTTAGATAAATGAAGAAAATATGCGTGATAATTGCAATACTAATATTTGGGGAAATACGGATAAATCTGTCTGTTTTCAACTTCTAACTTTCATATTTAACAGAAAAAATAGGTCTTTTCTCATAAAGGAAGGGATCACTACTCCATAAATATGTTATTTATATAATTGCAATACATGACTCTCTAATTTGGCATTTTTTCAATTATAAATACTCTTAATTTGAGATAAGAACTACTCGCTAAAACCGACTGATGATCCCAGATACATGCAAAAAACACAAAATATTCAGCTTTAAAAACAATAACAATGGCCTTATTCTAGAATAACAACAGGTGTATTACCGGATACAAAAACTGTGGATTCAACACACCTTTTGTGTACTCAGTGGCGATTCTAGAGTCTGTGGGGGCCCTAGGCAAAAATTCACTGGGGGCCCCTCGAAACCAGCCATCAGTGGCGCCCCAACACACTCTTCTCCCCCCCCCCCCCCCCCCCCCCCCAGAGCGGAGCAAGGCAACGAAACTTAAAATAAGAAGCAGCATTTTACGGCGCGCTATGCATGGGGCCGCCTTGAGGGGGTTTCCCGACATGTCCTTGCAGTAAATGAAAGGGTGTTTCATGTTGTGGACCTTCTTAATCTAGCTTCTTTGGGGGCCCCCTTCTGGTCCGGGGCCCCAAGCCCTGCCTTGCCTCTTTGCAAGCGGCGCCCCTGTGTGTACTTATACTTATCTTTAAGATGTTTTAAACACATGTTATCAAAGTGGAATTAAACCAGAGGAAAGCAAACGAGGGAAGAGAATACAAAAAATGACTTCTCGTCTCTTTGGTGGCGTCTAGAATGTTTTCAAAGAAATCAAAGAAAACGACAAACAATCATTTGGCCTGAATCTCTCTCAAACACGGCGCCCTCTTTAGTCGAGCGTCATCGTTTATATATTTACAAACTTTTACATATTTTACCGCAAAAAAATAGATTGTCTTCATCTACAGCTGGTATATATATTCTCCTATAAATATGGAATATATTTTCCACAGCAGTACATAGTAGTATTGGTGATATATTGAATATTCTACATGTGGAATACTCCCTTTAAAGCCTGGCTCTTCTTAAAGGGGAGGTCTGCCTTGCGACTGATGTGGTTAAATGGATCAAAGCTGCTTCTTCTTTACTTTGTACACTTAGTAAAAATAATAGATGTCTCGTATCATTGTAGTGATGATGATGATGATGATGATGATGATGATGGTTGTGGTGATGATGATTGCGATGATGATGATGATGGTGATTGTGATGGTTGTTTCGCTCTATAGTTGTTGAGGTTTCGTCAGACCATCTTCACTCAGCTCATACCTGCAGGAGGAGAAAGAGAAGCTTTTATTTTGAAAATCGGACAGATCCACGCTTTTATTTTGGAAATCTGACAGATACATGCTTTTATTTTGGAAGTCTGACAGATACATGCTTTTATTTTGAAAATCTGACAGATCCATGCTTTTATTTTGGAAATCTGACAGATACATGCTTTTATTTTGGAAATCTGACAGATACATGCTTTTATTTTGGAAGTCTGACAGATACATGCTTTTATTTTGAAAATCTGACAGATCCATGTTTTATTTTGGAAATCTGACAGATACATGCTTTTATTTTGGAAATCTGACAGATACATGCTTTTATTTTGAAAATCTGACAGATCCATGCTTTTATTTGGGAAATCTGACAGATACATGCTTTTATTTGGGAAATCTGACAGATACATGCTTTATTTTTATTCAAAGATTTCTTAACAACACACATGAAACTGAGCTGTTTGTTGGTCTTCATATTTGTATGATCAGAGTTTTATAAATAATAAGTGAGATATCAATCACTCACCATTGTGTCCAACCCTTAGACGTGTCCTCGTACGTCAAATCCACCAGAACCTGAGGAGAAAAGACAACAGAGCTTATTTAAAAATGTTACATCAAGTGTTTAAAAGACTGCAAACAGTTGAAATATGACATGAGCAGAATAATCTACCATCCTTGAAGATACTCTTGTAACACTATTTCAGGTAGATGAACAAACTGGAATATTGTCAAAACTCAAGATTTAAATCCATAATCCTCAAACAAAGACTGCTTTATAGATAATTGGATTGATTTCAAGACATTTCTGTATTTAATGAAGCGTGTAGAATCTTTAGTGAGAGAGCGTACCTTTCCCAGAAGGCCTTTGTGTTTGGAGAGCAGTCCTCCTCCGTTCTTCACCGCGACGTCCAGAGTGCGTCTGTGGAGCTCCACGAGAGACACACTGAACTCATAGCTGAGGAGGAGGAGGAGAGGAAACATCAGCAATCATCAGCTGCTAAAATACTACGTTTAAAAGCACAAGGCGCTTTCACACCGGAGTACTTTTCCCAGGAATAGTTCCGATAGTTCCTGGGATTTTGCATTCACACCAAAAAGATCTGGAACTAGAACTTTTTTTTGCAAACCTTTTCACCCCTTTTTAGTGCCTGCTAGAGAGCAGGTACTTTCCTGGGGAGGAAAAGGTTCCAATTTCTGATTGGCTGGGAGAATTGCAAACCACGCCCCGTAAAACTCTGAAAAGTTGTTGTGAAGCCGCCATTTTATTTGCTCGCATTAGCATTATTAGCATTAGCATTAGCCCAGCGCACAAACGAAGAGAGACTAACTTATGGCAACACAAAAGAAAGGGGAGCGGTGGAGTGATGAGGAGGTGTCGGCGCTTCTGGCGATTTACTCGGAAGGCTTCAGTAGAAGCTGCAGGGAGTCCCAGCAGCTTCTACTGAAGCCAGTTCCCAACTCCGGGGACTTCCGGCCGGGGACTTCGGGTGGCAGTATACGCCGTGAAGTTGTTTGCGGCCTGCCACTAAACCCAAAGCAGAAGAAGAAGAAGAAGTGACGTCAGCGGCTCCCTCAGGGACTTATTCCGGTGTGAACGCGATTTACTAGATAGTTCCAGGAAATGAAAGTTCCGGGAACTATTCCTGGGAAAAGAAAGTACTTGGTGTGAAAGCGCCTATAGTATTTATTTTCCTGCCACTCCAGACTATAAGGCAAGGCAAGTTTATTTATATAGCACTTTTCAACACAAGGCAATTCAAAGTTCAAAAGCAAAGATAATAAAACATAAATAAAAGTTACAAAGTCTTCAGCCTGGATTTAAAAGTAGTCAGAGTTGCAGCGGACCTGCAGGTTTCTGGGAGTTTGTTCCAGATATCTGACAATATCCCTCACCAAATGCTCACTGTTAGGGAATAATTTGCTTAGGTATTCAACCTTCGACACAGTTCATCATTTTCTCCTCTCACTGTCTCTTTTCCCATGGCATAGTTCTACGGCCTTGGGTATTGCTGTTATCTCTCGTAAGGAGGGGCAGCTTGAGGGGGTCAACACCTCCTCTTCGGTGTGTTGACCTGCACCGAAGAGGGGGAGGAGGAGGAGGGAGGGTTTTTGTCCAAGCTCAGCACCTGAGATTAAAACAGAATCAGAATCAGTGTAGAATCTGTGTTAAATAATCATGTGCAATGCCTTGTGCCAAACATTTCCCAAATTGGGATCAATAAAGTACTTCTTCTCTTATCTTACCCTCAGAGCCATCTTCATCTTCAGCGTGCAGCTCGGGCCGGAGTTCTTGAGGGGGAAACGCTGATTTAAAGGGGACCTATCTTGCAAAATGCACTTTTGTACGTCTTTTCTACATGAATATGTGTCCCCGGTGTTCCAGGGAACTCACCAAGTGTCAGAAAACACAACCCTCTCTATTTTCCTCCATACCCAAATCTCTAAAAAAGGGGCTGCAACGGATCTGATAAAAACTGATCCAGATTTGAACACTGTCCTGACGTCAGGACGGTGGCGCTACGGCTATTGGGCCAACTCCACCAATCAGGAGGAGACAGCCACGGCCATTGCCGTTCGAAAGCGCTGGAGACGCTGTAGTACATATGCCAGGCCTGTAGATGGTGCTGGGCAGCAGCTGCCCCCCCCACTGCCCTGCTGAAAAAACCAGCATAGACCAGCTTAAGATGGTTGCTGGTTTTAGCTGGTTTTAGCTAGTTTTAGCTGGTTTTAGCTGGTTTTAGCTGGTTTTAGGCTGGTGTTAGGCTGGTTTAGTTGGTTTACCAGGCTGGACAAGTTGGCCAGGCTGTTCTTGCTGGTTCAAGACCAGCCTGGTCAGCTAAACCAGCATAGCCCAGCATGGATGTCATGCTGGTCTATGCTGGTTTTAGCTGGTCTATGCTGGTGAAGCTGGTGAAGCTGGTCTACCAGCAGTCTTGCTAGAAATAGAAATTCAGAAACTGAAATAGACACAGACAGACAGAGAGGGCGGGACACGGGGGAACGGCGAGACGGCAGTGGTTGAAACAAAGCGGTATGTTTTGACTGGCACTAACGGTCGAGGAGTGAAGATCAGTTGAACGTTTCTGTGACTCCGCCCAGCGGCTGCTCTTCTGAGAGGCACCGCTCTGACAGCTCTGTCTACTGGGAAACGCGCTAAAAGTCCTTCTGGAGGTAAGCAACACTACACAATTTCACCAAGTCTGAGAGTAAAAGCTTTCTCGAAGGTTCGTTTTGCTTTCTTACAACGTTACGTTAATGTTAACTTAACCTTACGTTTGCTAGGAGGCTAGCTGTCTTAGCTAACAACAGTTAGCAGCTAACGTTTTCTGCAGTTTGTGTTTCCCCTGAAAAACGTAATGCAGCTATAAGTTGTAAGTTAACTTAACGTTATCTTACAAGTTGAGAGTTACGTTTTGTTTAAAATCGTCAATGTAATGCCATTAGAGGTGTTGTGTTGAACATGAAGTTAGCTAACTGTAGCTCTCCACCAAAGATTAGCATGTTAAGCTGTACTTTCTGTGGCAGCTAGCTTAATACAAAGAGGGTTTTTGTGCTTCATTGTAAATTTTTCTTACAAATGTGTGTTAATCTACCTGAAATTGTGGGGACAGTTTTTTTCTACTCAATGATACAGACCATTGTTGAGGAGATGCAAAACATACATATACTTTGAGTAATGTTACTTTGCTGCTAAAAAATGAAACATTATCAGATAAGGACATCACCAAAGTGTGTGAGTCTGTCAGGGGATTTGATCTGTTCTTTGCATGTCGTACACACTGCTCTGGTATGAATTAAAAATATAATTGTAAAATGTAAATCTCGCTCTTGTCATCGTTCAGGCTTTGCATTTGAACTCCTATGACTGGTTGCGGACTTGAAGGGAATGCCTTCCTGACATCCAGGAAAAAGGTGAGATTCTAATCTAATCTATTTCAATGCCAAAAGCAAGTTATTGTTTTTAACTTTTTTTTTTTTTTTTTAAATATGATTTTTTGGGGAATTTCAGTTTTATTGGACAGTAGAGATCTACTAGAAACAGTAGTACTTAAGAGGATGTTTGTCCTCCTGTCTTCTCTTATTTCCTTATCTTTCTTTCAGGTGTAACATCTACCAATGGTTGTACATGACACCACCTCTTTGCTGTCCTACTAGTCAACCCTCCTGATCAGAGCCTTTCCTAAATAGTGGTAAGTTGTTTTACAGTTCAGTGTACGTTAATTTAGCAATTTAATGCTTTACTGCTGTTGAATAAACCCTATATATATATATATATATATATATATATATATATATATATATATATATATATATATATATATATACATCCATCAGCAATCAATAAAACAAATCATCCAACACAAAATAGAAGAAATCTGGACCTATTCTATTTCTTTTTATACAACAGCATCTATTGGGACAGCTCATTGATGTCATCAAGAGCCATTGAGTCTAGCTTTTGTAGTCGGCCTCTCAGAATGTTTAGCATTTCTTTGTCTCTTAACATTCCTATAATCATTTGTTTTTTTATTGTTGATATTGTTTTGTTCTTTATTTTTGTTGTGAGAATCACTTTGCAATTGTGTAAGTGCTATATAAATAGTTATACTAATATTATTGTTGTTACCATCATTACTATTATTAATAATGTCTTCTTTGTTTTCTTTATTTATCGCTGCAGAAAGGTTCAAAAAGTTCCCTGTACATGGAACCATGCCTGCCCTCTGTTCCACATGTCTTCAGTCCGTTCTGGACCCCATGACTCGGACACTAGTTCTACCAAGGCTCATTAGAGGTAAGCAGTGGTAGGAGAGTGGATTTATCTTTGTATTTAGGCTGCAAGTCGACAAGAATAGATTACAAATCGCTTAAAAAATGGTTCAGATACATTTTTCTTTTTCATCTCACAGTGCACATATTTAAGTAATCATAACACAAAGCTAACATTTAATCTGTTTTTCCTTTCTCTTTTCAAGAGTGCTTCAGAGGATGGCTGAATTCACAAAACGCGGAGAAGACCGAGAGGGAAAAGTTGGCCGGTTACTACATTTCACAAAAAATACAGGACCTTGTGAAAAACGGAAAGAAACAATTGAAGGAAACTGCTTAAAAATATGAAGTAATGGGTGTTTTGAAAATGTTTTCAAATGTGTGTTAATGTTCATTGTGTGTTATAAATTATTTTCCTGCTTCTAATCATTTGATGTATGAGTATTTATTTACAGACATTCTATACATTCTGGTACCTTTCTGGTAAGGTAGGTGCTCTGATCTGAAATGATAGATGTTCATTGAGCTACTGCAATTGGGTGAGAGTGTTTCATCATCATATATGACCAGCTTAACCATCAAGTAATCCCAGTTAAAGTTCTACTCAAGATCATAGCAGTCGGACCAGCTAATGGTGACCAGCTAGAACACTGTGACCACCAGCTTTTACCAGCTAAACCAGCTAAACCAGCTATCCCGACCAGCTAATGGTAACCAGCTAGACCACTGTGACCAAACCAGCTATCCTGACCAGCTAAAGTGTCCAAAACCCCTCTTAACCAGCAAACTAATCCAGCCTAATATTGACTGGCTGGTCAGGCTGGTTTACCAGCCTGACCAGCCAGACCAGCCTTGTTGGTCTAAGCTGTTTTTTTCAGCAGGGTGTAGAGCCTTGCCCCCCCAGCTGCCCCCCTAACTTTTGTTTCCCTAAAACTGTACTAAAACAAACCTACACTCTGTCCACAGGCTTCTCAAGCAACGAAACAAGCAGTTCATTAATTAAAAGTGAATCATTTTAAATATCATCTTACTTAGGCCCGTTAAAAACGCAGCTACGGCCCTGCATTAAACTGCGGAGCGGCGTTCACACAGACCGCGGCTCACAGAGCTGCAGAGAGGGAGCGAGCTGTCCCAGCACCTAGGGTGGATCAGCTTCCCCTGGGAGCATTTCCCCTTCCACTAGT